CCACACACACACTTACAGTCCTGGGTGCCCCAGGATGTGAATATATTTCATTGCAGCCTGTGGTCCTGCCCCTCCTTTTCAGCACTGGGTGAATTTGTATAGTGGGCAATAGGTATACTCTAGAATCTATTCCTACATGAGAATATTATAATAACCTAACTGTAAATGGAAGTGACTGAATTATATTCATAGGTCCCAGTAAACCTAATCTACATGTATCCTTAACTTACTTCATTTAGCTTAGTTCCAGAAATAACCATAGGCTGAACAGTACAGAACACACTGGAGTGAAGTTGAGATATTAAAAGGCAACAGTGGTTGCCTTTTTAATTGCCTAAAAAGGCAATTAAAATATTTTGCTTTCGTGAGTTTTTAAAAGCACGTAACTATGTAAACAGGTTCCTAGGCAAGTAAGGGACACTGAAACTCAACCTTTCTATTTCGATAGTAAATCCACTTCTGACAGCACCTAATGGCACTTGTAAGTACAAAGTAGACACCCAGAAATATTTGTTGGATGGTTGGATGGGTAGATCAATACACAGTGACAACTTTATGACTATTCCACAGTATTGCTAAATCAAAGTGCCTTTCAAATTAAATTGGACCAACGAGGTGCAGATTATATTTACATAGTAAATCTATGCTATATCTGTGAGTGATGTGGTATTTGTTCTTAATACAAAATATGTCAATAAGATGTATTCATTATGACAGATATATTGACCCCTTGCCTTTTCTTTCTATGGGGAAATTACTGAGTTCTGCATAATTTTGCAACCTGTTAAGTACACTTCTTCAGGTGTATGTCCTAAGCAGAGCTACTACTTAGAATGTCTTATTGCTAAAATTATGGAACAGCTTTCTTCAATGCATATGTTACATTTGTCTTTTTATGAAGAACAGTTTCTACTCTGTGGACTTCTTTTTGTTACTCCCAAGAAAACAGTTGTCTAAAATTTTTTAAGTGGTATTGCAGGTAGAAGCAGCTGAAAAATTGAAGATACGTATTTTTCAGGATGGAGTAAAAATACAGATTTATTTAAAGTTTAATTTCCTGTCTAATGCTAGAACAAGGATTGTGCTAGGAAGGAAATTGGCAGGCCAGACAAGAAATCTCATACTGAATGGATTTGCTTAGGATGCTGGCCTTTGGTACTCTCCCTTCACTCTCAAGCCTAGCCAGGGTTAACAAATCAGTCTCACTGGTAATCAGAGAACTACCTACAAAATCAAATCTTCTCTCATAAAACCTGACTCTGTGTATACATGAATGCACCACTGAAAAACCACATGCCACTTTGGGGACCTGGAATTTTTCAGAGAATGCCCAAATTGAAATGCTTCTTGCAAATACTGAGTTTTCCCATCTGGCATTCAGATTGAGATAGTTGAGAGATAATAAAAAGTTATGAGGCAAATAATGACATATCAACAGTGAAGTGGTGGACTTAGGACAAGGTTTTTTTCACAAGCTTAATTTAAAAAAATGGATTTCTGAGATGCTGTGATGCAAAGACTGAGCTTTCGTTGGAAACATCAACTGTGAGTCAGGTACAGGCAATGTGTCCCACATTGACCTGCACGTTTCTTTTAAAATGTCTTATTTTTATGCTGTCGCAAAGGGTAGGCCCTCCTTCTTTCTCTCTGCTGTGTAGTATTCCATTATATAAAGGTACCACAGTTTTTTGATCTACTCATTTACAGATGAGCACTTAGGTTGCTTCCAGCACCTGACTATTGTCAATTGTGCTGCTATGAACATTGGGGTGCACATGTTCTTTTGGATTGGTGTTTCAGGGATGGAACTGGAGAGCATTGTGCTAAGTGAAATAAGCCAGGTGGCGAAGGACAAATACCATATGATCTCATCTTTAACTGGAACATAATCAACAAAAGAAAAAAGCAAACAAAATATAACTAGATACATTGAAATTAAGAACAATCTAACAATAGCCAGAGGGAAGTGGGGAGGGGACAGTGGGGAGAAGGGTTTTCAGGAACTACTATAAAAGACATATGGAGAAAACCAAGAGGGAGGGTGGAAGCAAGGGAGGGAGGTGGATTTTGATGGGGTGGTGGAGAGGGGTAGGAAGAAAATACAGACAACTGTAATTGAACAACAATAAATTAACTTAAAAAATAAAGAAAAAATAAAATGTCTCACTTTTAAATGAGTGTAAATTAATTTAGGGATGTACTGTATTTGCCATGTATAATGCACACCCATGTTCTTGGCCCAAACTTTCAGGGAAATAAATCTTTCATTTTAGTTCTTTAATTCATTTTTATTTATATATAAAACAATGATCATATTCCAGTATATTATCTTGCATATGGATATTGTTATTGATTTCTAGAGTTACACTTTTAACACATAAGCATAAATAAGAGAATTAGATACACAATTAGTACTACCCATGTATAATGTGCATCCTTATTTTTCCCTCAAAAGTTTGGGCAAAAAAAGGGCACCTTATATACAGCATATTACAGTAATTGGAATATATAAAAGTTAGTATGAAAAGCAAATATAGATAAAGCTGACTTTTTGGATATGCTGGTGGAAGAAATTTCACACCAATATTTCAGTGTGACTAGAAAAAGATAAAAAATATGTTTAGCTTTATTCAGCTAGTGCAATGAGCATTATTGATTAAAATGTTAGGATCAATAAAGACTTAAAATTGCAGTAGAGGAGAAGTAAGGAAGGAGAATAAGGTTATGCTCTGTCAAGTAACCTAAATGCTTTGTAAAAAATTGATTTGAAACATGAACTGTCAATGATACTCTGGGCCTTCAGGGGCATAGGTGTCTCACAGCAGCAGATACATGCAAAACCACAATGTACGCTGTTACCACGCTCACACACTAAGTATCGGTAAACACCGTGCACTACTAGAAGCTAATTATAAAACCTTAGCCTTTGAATATGTGTTGTTAATCCTTTCCAAAGAATTCTCTGTAATGTTAATGAGGAAGCTGCTTTTCAAGTCATTTAACAACCAATGGAACGTAACATGTTTCTCCTTAGAATGCAATTATGTGTATAATGCAGTTGCACTTTGTCAAATTCTTTCTAAAATTACAGCAGTAACATTTTAAATCTGTCTTCTTTTTTCCTTAATTCATCAGAATCAGACTATACTAGACTTCTGTAGTACCACCTCATAACCAAGGATAAATGGGTTAGATATTCATCACATATAAGCAGTTGCATTATAGAACTTGCTTTCGTTTGTAGGGAAAAACTAAACAGATCTAGAAAAATACATGTGTAAGACACCAAACCATAGGGAGATAAATGCAGACATGGAGAAAAGGCATCAACATAATAATAAATTGAAAAGTGAAATAAAAACAATATCTGATATAAATTTTAGGAAAAACATCTAAAAATAATGAGCATTTATATTAAATGTATACAAAACTTACCCTTGAAAAAACACTTCAGAGGTTAGCACCTAAAATTATTAACAAATTGTTAACCACAGGCCCTAAGAGCTACTGGAAAGAAAGGTGTGAAAGAACATAAAAGAAGTCCTGAAAGGCAAGGACCTACATCCAAGATGACTGTATCCAGCAAAGCTATCATTTAGAATGAAGAGACAGATAAAGTGCTTCCCAGACAAGGTCAAGTTAAAGAAGTTCATCATCACCAAGCCCTTATTATATGAAATGTTAAAGGGACTTATCTAAGAAAAAAAAGATGATCAAAAATATGAACAGTAAAATGACAACAAACTCACAACTATCAACAACTGAAACTGAAAAAAAAAAAAACCCAACAAACAACTAGAACAGGAACACAGTCAGAAGAACAGAGATTGCATGGAGGGTTATCAGCAGGGAGGGGAAACGGGGAGAATGGGGAATAGGTACAGGGAATAAGAAGCATAAATGGTAGGTACAAAATAGACAAGGGGAGGTAAGGAATAGAGTGGGAAATGGAGAAGCTAAAGAACTTGTATGTATGACCCATGGATGTGAACTAAGGGGAGGAATGCTGGTGGGGGGGTGCAGGGTGGAGGGGAATAAAGGGGAGAAAAATGGGTCAACTGTAATAGCATAATCAATAAAATATATTTTAAAAATAAATAAATAAAAAGAAATGCTTTAAAGGGAAGAAAAAGACACAAGGCTCACCAATCATTGAACTCAGGGACTGAGTTCTGAATTTTCTCAGTGCTGCTCTGGGCACCACATTCCTGTATAACTAATCAAAATGAAAGGTTCCTTTGGAAAATTTTACAGTCTTTCAGATTGAGTCCAAGAAACATGCTTCTTTTCAAATCAATTCTGATCTTAGTGAATATTAATTTCACTGTTTACTTTTCTAAGCGATGGAGCATTAATCAGTATAGATCTATTTTTTATAAATATGAATGAAAAATATTAAGAAGTCATTTTTTAATTACATAAGTATCAGTAAACAATGCTCTCTTGCCCTAGCTAGTGTGGCTCAGTGGATTGAGTGCCGACCTATGAATCAAAGAATGCTCTCTGATAATAGAATTTATTATATTTCTGCTTATTTAATTTTCTGTGTATAAACTTTTTCATAAACATAGTTCATTATGGGTTTGTTTTAAATTTAAATACTTAATTTTGGGCCCCACCAGTATAGCTCTTTAGAATCTATTTTAAACAGGTACTATGTAGAAAAATCAATGGTTTATTGTCCAGTTGCTTTACTTTTGCCTGGTGCTTTTTATTTTGAAATTAGTGTAAGGGAGGAAAATTAAATTTCCTTTTACTCTTCCAAGTTATTAGCTGAGACCCTTGTAATAAGAGACAGATTAAGAAGAAAAAAATAAACAAATTTAAAAACATCAAATTGTAAATATACAATAAAACATGTATATATCATGTATTCATGGGAGATACCCAAGGGAAAATGAGTGACTCCCCAAGGTGGTAAATTTGGGGGAGGCATTTTCTGTCTTGAAGTGCTTACCAGGAACCGGTGGGATTTGACTTGCCCCTGCCTTTACATGCAGGTGCACCCTGAGCGTGACAGTGGAGCAGGCCATCATTCTGGCCAGAAGCCACGGACTGCCTCCTCGCTACATTATGCAGGCTACAGACGTGATGCGGAAGCAGGTGAGCCTCACTCACATTGTAGGGAGTTGTTCTACAGGACCTGGGTTTTCAATGTTCATTTGTTCACTTATCAGGTGTCTGGCAGGTGCCTGCAGGGCATGGGCATTTTTCCAGGGAGAGAGAGTAAGACATGAACAAGAAACAATCCCAGGGAAGAAGACAGCGCAGATGTCCAAGAAACGTAGAAAACCTGAATAAAAGGATGTCTAAGAGGTTAACTGGAGAAAAAAAAGGGAATTGGCTAGGCAAAATGAGCAGGGGTGGTTGGGGGGCAAAATGAGAAGGAGACATAAAAGGACACATGTCACTTTCTGGGAATTGCAGGGAATAGACTGGGGAAGGGGTGGGAGAAAACAAACAAACAAACAAACAAACAAACAAACAGAAGTGAGGCCAGTGCTGACCTGGGGTCTGCTGCACAGACATGAGGCACGGCAGATGCACGTACATCGTAGCTTCAGGTTGTGGACCCCAGACCGGAAGAATGAAAACCGAGGTTTCACAAGCTCCAAGAGGATTTGTTAAATGAAGGTTTGTTCCATGAGAAGCACACGACATTGTAGCTCAGCTGGAAAAGAGCATATACAGATGTAAATGTAGTGGGTTTAGAAAGAACTTTTTGGTGTGGATATACAAATTCAGTGTTAAAAAGTAGGCCAAGGTAAACTTGTGATTGGTTATATCTGGATTGGAGCTTGGGTGCTGAAACATACAGAAAGAGCCTAACCTTTCTGTTTCACTCTGTTACTATTAGATTAAGTTTGCAATCAAACTTGCAGAAGCCGCCTCAAAATTGTGGTTTATGGGAGACTGAGACTGTACTAACCTCTTTCAATAATAATCTAGTAAGGGGGTAATTATGAGTTGGCTACATATATATTTTAATGGACTTAAACATTGAAAACCTTGAAATTCTCATAACTGAAAATGGGGATAGAGAAAATAGAAAAAGTTAAAACAATATTATGTAGGTCTTAATGACTTGTTTAACTGGTGTGAACCTCTTTAAAACATAATATATATTGTATTTGTATTAATACATTACTATGTATTTATAAAATATGATTTAAAAAGACTAAAATGTTACAAAGTTCCATATAAAACCCCTATTGATTTCTAATCCACACCATTTTTAGTATTTATCACTCCATCTTCCTCCTATTGTTTTTGAATAAATACATTTAGAATCCTAACCCTTCCTCTGTTGCTTGTTTGCCGCTTCAAGTTTTTATGACATCTCTAAGTGGTTCTGAGAGACAAGTACTACTTTCCACCTTCTTTGTGAAAGACTATGGAGCCCAGGCCCTTTCTTTAGAGAAACCAGGGTAGACCTTTGCAATAATCCTTCTGCTGCTGATCCTCTGACCAGTGTGCAGCAGTTTCAGACAGTGGGATTACTGGCTGGGATCCAATCTGCAAGCCAACTCCTACCAGCCTGAGATCCCAGTAGTTGGGATGTAAGTGTAATGAAAGATATTCCTTTGGCCTTTCAACCACTGAGACTGTTTCCAGAGACTGAATAGAATATTTGCCAGGTTAATGATTTATATTTTCTAAGATCTTTAGTTTTTTTTTAGGGAGAACTTTTTCAGCATGATTTTTTATTCTTATTTCTAATTGCAGTATAGTTTTCACGTACAGATTCTGTATATGTACTTTACATAATTATTTTAACTAACTGCTTGAGTTAGAAGGAAAGATAAAAGATAGAAGGAAGGGTAATGTGCTCCTTATAATTTTTTGTAATGATTATAATAATCTTCAGGATAACCAACTGATCTGATTAATAAAAGGCTGAGGTAGACACTTCCATTTACATTATAAACTTAAAGTTATTTGTCTAATAATTACACATTTCAAGTATTCTTTGGTAGAAGCCTACCCCAAAATTCTTTTTTGACCATTTTAGTAAAAACTTGGATTTCTGAGGGTTCTGGTTCCTTAGCTACAGTATCAGGGTATCAGGGCACTGGACTGGGCACTAAGACCAAGGACCTGGGAGGACGCCCTTCTCGCCCAGTGCCTTGGCGGACACTCGTGTAGGCAGAACACCACCCCATCGGCACCAGCAGGCAAGCTCTGTAAGGGGTGCATAACCCAAGTCTATCAGGACAGAAATCAAGAAACAAATAAAAAAGTATGTGAATTCTCTGTTCTACTTTTATAAACAACTTTGCTTGAAGTCTAAAATTACTTCAAAATAAAGGGTATTTTTTTGTTTAAAAAAACTGTCTAATTGCAATTCCTAAATTCCTTTCCATCTCTTTTTGCTACCCCCTCCCACCCCTTCCTCTGTTTGCTTTCCTGTATTTGGCCCATTTTGAGAGAATTTTTCTCTCTCCCTTTTTTCTTTCCTTCTTTCCCTTCCCGTAAGTTAGAATGTGGTAGCAGGAGAGAGCTGCAGACCTTTCTTCAGACCCCTCCTCTTTATCTGTTCTCATCCCACACTCTGGTGTTTTGTTCTGTGTGATAACTAATTCCCATTAGGAACTGAACAGTGATTATAGCTTCATTCATGAACTTGACAGATTAGAAAGACATTTTCATTACTGAAGTACATTGTCTTTGTGCTATAAATTTTGAGGCAGAATTCTTGCATTTCAGAAATCTACGTGAATATGCCTGGTCCAGACATTGTTTTAGAACTGCATGGGAATAAAGAACAAACTGACAAACTAAAGAATAAAGAATAACCAGAGGTGGGGGGATGGGGATAATGGGGCAAAGAAGGGGAAGGGTCATCAAGGAACATGTATAAAGGTATTGTAAAGGAACATGTAAGGAACATGTATAAAGGACCCACGGACAAAGACAATGGGGAAGGGAAGGACTGAATGCGGAAGATGGGGGTAGGTAGGGCAGAGGAGAGTGATGTGAGGAAAATGAGGACGACTGTAATTGCACAACAATATAAACAAACAAACAAACAAACCATTTTCTTGATAAATACTATAAAGTTTAAAATAGCTAACTCTTCAGTGAGGACAAAACAGGCACACTGAGCGATAGGGCTGTGGTTCCTGTTCCACGAAAGTGGAGGCGCAGCGGGTATTCACAACCCGCTCACTTCCTACTGTCCTACGTAGTGCTTGCTTCTAGGAATAGAGGCATAGATGAAACAGTGAACAGGAAGCTGTATTTAAACTCATTTCAAGTGATTTAAATGGCTGTTGGAATACATACCCATCCCTTTAAACAATGTATCAGCATGTTTTGATTGTTCAAAGCATTCATTTTGAAACTGCTCAGATGATGATTTTTTTCTTACCCAACCCATCTCCCTTGATGTTAAATACCTGGTTGGAATAAATATTCTACACTCAAATGTTAACGGTATGTTAATTACTAATGCAATGGAGAACTAAGAGTGATTTTCCCTACCTTTTTTTCAGGGAGCAAGAGTTCAGAATACCGCAAAGAATCTGGGAGTCAGAGACAGAACCCCGCAGTCCGCTCCCAGGTAAGTAAGTGACTTCCCAGCTCTGCTCTTTCCCAAAGGGCTTCCACCCTGTCCAGGGCAGTGTCTCAGTGAATGTAGTTGCTCCAGGTCATGCCCCATGTGGAACTGACGGTAGTCATAGCAACTGGCCTTGTAAACATTTTGTGACTAAATGTGAGAAGGCATAAATGCTCTCAGAGTGAAATGGAAATTTAGCTGAAGCAAACTGAGAGGAGCAAACAGCAAGTCCTGGCATTATTTTATTTTGTAGGTTTCATTATGAATTCAAAAACAAAACTCCACACAGTTGCTATGAAAATTTATATTCCAATGGTGTCATACTACCAAAATGCCATTTTCATTTATACTTTTATGATCGTGCATGCTATTTATTCCCCCTGGCATGATTGCATTTCCCATCTATTTCTGTATGAAAAACTCCTATTTAACCACAAAACCCAACTTTGATGTTACTTCTTCCTTGAAGCCTTGGTTGAGTTTTCTGCCTATTTATGCTTCGTTAGCATCTTCTGTATTGGTCGATTAGAACCCTAATTGTGTTGCGAGATATTGCGACATGTCCCTTTGCCCAACTTGAATAGGAATTCTTTGGAGGCAGGGAATATGTTTTCAGTTTTTCAGTTTTGTTCATTGCTCATCATAGTGCCTATGTATGAATATCTGATTTCAAGAATGTGTGAGTGAATTAATACATGAATGAATTAACATTTTGTTTGTTAGTAAACCAAATATTCAGAGTTTACATATCATCATAAGAAAAGATTCTAATCCACCTTTAAAAGAAATGAACGTGGCAATAACCATCAAAGAAATATTGGTAATTTGATTTCCCTGGTGACATTAGGGTAAGCGGCCATCTGTCCTACTTCAAGTAGGACAAAAATTAGGTAATATTTTTACATTTGGTTGCTTTTATACATTTGCATTTTAACAAAAAGTAGGCTCCTCCAAGCACTGCCGTAGATGAGACACTCTTTGTTTCTGTGTACAAAGCAGTTACCAGCATTAAAATGATAACTGCAGCATTTATGAAGTTATTCTTCATTCCAGAAAATCTGTGTGGGCAGTGAAAGTATTTTAAAAAAACAAAACATATTTTCCTTTAAAAACGGATGAAGCCTTCATGTTCTAATTGCATCTATTTTTAGTGCTGCTCCTAAACTTATTTAATCCTCAAGTCTTACTTATATTATCTTTCACAGTTCATTAGATGAATCTAAGACTCTCTTTTGCTAAATAATCACTCACCATTCACATATGAATTCATTTTCTAGCACCTGGAACAGATATGGTATATTTGAATAATAGACCAAGTGCACTGTTAAATTTACAATAAGAAAACAAGATAATACCTCAGCAAGGTCTTCTTAGCTAGAGCTTATAGACAATAATAAACTGGGGTAGGATAAGACTTTAGCATCCTAATCAATAAACCAATAGAAGGCTGAATATAAGAAAAGAAAGTGATGAACTCACTTTTTTGTTTATTGGGTTGTGTTTTAAAACACTTGAAATAAAACTCAATAAAATGTGCCAGTTATAAAGTGGACTTTTTTATTCAAGGGAATAATAGTCTTCAGAGAGAGAGAGCTAGAGTAACTTTTAAATTTTATTGTATTTATTCTTTCATTCACTCTACAAATATGTATTGAGGACCTAAGAAATGCAAAGCACTCTGCTATCCTCTGTGGGAAAGCTAAACATGAGATAGAAATAGTTTAACCACTCAAGGAGCTTTCACTTAAAGAGATGAGATGAAGTGAATAAAACTTAAGTATAAGAATAGGTAGAAGGTAAGAGAGTGCTAAGGTCCACAAAGGGGCTGGGATTCCCTCCCAGCTGGGAAGGAGGATTCCTTTCCCAAAGGCATTTAACTGAAAAACACATTTGGCTTTTAAGGCCAGACCACCCACAGGCAAATCCAGGGTCCTGTTTCTTCAAATGTCTTCATGGAGATAAAGTTTGCTACCTCTGCCTGAGATAATATTTGACTCTAATCTCTAACCAATCTTTTCATAGTTTTTCTAAAACCATCTACTTTCTTTCACTTTAAAAAATTCACTCAGCAAACATCTATTGAATTTCAGCTATGCATTTGTAGGGGTCAGGTTCATTGTTAAAAACTAGAGATACAGTCTTTTCCATTAGTCACTGATATGAACAATAGAGTGGCAGTTGAATGAAATGGAAATAGTATACAGTTAAGAACTGTGGCAGAAATAGGCACAGATTGCCATGAGAATACAGAGAAGGGGGCACATGCCTCAGCCTGGGGAAGGGAGATGGGAGGAGCAGAGTAGCTCTGGCCCAGCCAGCATGGCAATAGATGTCCTATGCAGCTGATGCATTGAGGCCAAGGCCTGCATAACACATCACACTTTGAAAGCTACACCGAGACCTCTGTGATTGATGGTTGAATGTGTTTAAAAAATGATGCAGAGTGAGGCTGGAAACATAAGCAGGGGCTGGACCACAACGAGACTCATATGAGATATTGAAGTGTTTTGATTTTAACTTGAAGACTATAGGGAGGTATTAATAAGCACTCTTTGTATCTGGAATAGTCAAATTTTAAAATTTATCTCTGGCCACATTCAGAGGGTCCATCAGAGGAATGCTAAGAGGAAATATAGGCAGGAGCTTGAATGGAGATTATAATAGTATTGAGGATAGAGATGGAGGAGGAATTAGAGAAATGTTTAGTGAACAGACTTAATAGTCTTTGAACACTAATTAGATAAAGAAGGAAGGGTTAAAGAAAGATCCTAGAATGGCCACCAAATCTTTGGCTTGGGTGACAAGGGGTTAATGGTTCTGGTCCCTGAGATAGAAGACACAGCAAAAAGAGCACCTATAGGGAACAGGTTGTAAACTCAGTGTGGTACAGTTCAGACTAAGGATCAATGGGACATCCATGTGGAGATGCTTTTGTGAGCAGGACAAATAAGGTTCATCCCCTTCCTTTTGTGCATTGGTTCTTCAGAGCAATAAGCATATCTTCACCAAGAACTAAATACCATATTTCAGATGGAATGGCATGCTAGTCTTATTTTCTATTGTATTACAAAATCTCTAAACTATTGTGTAATGAAAGCTTTATTTTTTTAATTTGTATAATTGAGAGGCAGCATACTATAGTGGTTAAAAGTGACAAGATGGTTTGAGCCCCAGTTCTTGTTATGTGACCTTATTTAGTCAGGTTATTCATCCTCTGAGACACTTTAACGTTTGTATAATGGGGAAATTGCCTTGCGGCAGAGTATTGTTGGACTTTAGCCTTGGAAGAGACATTTGCTTTGTGGCTCCTTTTAACACAACTTGTATTTTGCCATGCACAAAGATGAAGAGCATGATCTATAGACTGCAGTTTGAAAGCTTTACTCTGCAGATTTAGATTTGGGCTGTATTGAAATACCAGCTGCAACAGGAAAAGAAGTGGAGCCAGGACCAAACCTTTTTTTGTGCAGGGCCACTGCTGTGCATGAGTGGAATGAGAAAAGAAAGAGCCCCCAAATTTGGGGCAAACAAAGACTGCCATTACCCAACAATTTAGCTGCCCCAAACCAAATGCCTCCATGCAGAGTAAAAGTCCAAGTCTTATTATTTCATTTTACTTCCAGATTTCATCTGCTTGTTCTAAATTCCCCAAGTCCCACAATTTCCATTACAAATGTGTTTGAATTCAAATTACCGTGAGTTGCTTCCAAGAAGCCTCACAGAAGCTGAATCTGCCCAGCTCTGCAGTACCCAGAGCTGTTATTTCATTAGCTGATCATAGGCAGTAGCCTTTTCACCAGGTTGCAAAGGAGACATTTCAAAGACTCACCTGCCCAGTGGCATTAGTTACATTCTGTGGGAACATGCAGTTCAAAGTAAACGACTGTGATGGCTCAGTCCAGATCTCGCCAGGTAGGATGTCCTTCACCCACCTGACTGTGTCTGCTCTGCAGGAGGACAGCCACTGCACCTTCCCACTCACCAGGCAGCATGTTGGGAAATGAGAGGATAGGCATTCAAGAGGAAAAGACCTCTCTAATCATTCTGCTATCCCAGCCCGGGAAGGCAGTTTGAAGCAACACCATAACCTTTAGCTGGAAAAAAAAGGCAGCTTTGAAGTCTTCCAGCTCATTTTAATGTATTCTTTTCTCCGGAAGGATGAAATAGCCTTTCTGATGTGAGATATCCTTATTTCAATATTTGTTTTCTTCCTTGGAGTTGACGTGTGGAGCATTAAATACCTTCCAGACTTGAAGTATATTTTACAAACCTCCAAGGCATTAAGTTCTTCCATGTGTTTCCAGATTAAGAAAGTTCACTTTGTGAACTAGGTTTCTAACCCAATATTAAATCTTTCTCATTCTTTCTCTTTGGTTTAGAATTAGCATAGGATTAAGTGTTGAAGGGAGAAAAAATTTTTAATTTGCTAAGTTTGTCAACAACTCATTTACCCCTGGGTTTAGAGTGCTTTTAAAAAGAAGCAAAGTGGGAGCCTGCACCTTATTTTTAGACCATCAGACCAAACTCTGAGGGAGAACCAGCATGGCCATGAGCAGAGCTGAGGACCACAGTTGGAGTCCAACATCCAGGCACCTTAAGCCAGCTGATCTTTCAGACTAAGCCTTAAATAGTGGGTGTGCCCTATATGGTCACTATTGCAGCTCTGTTCCCTTTTGTTTTGGAGTTAGGATTCCACCATTGGCAGGGGCAGTGAGGGGGCATGGAGCACAACTTGTATAATCCTAGGCCAGTTCCCTGAACTTTGCCTCAAGGCTGTATGGTCTCAAGCAACTTGACCTGGGACTCAAAGAGCTAACATTTTCCAATCTCCCAATGTCTCCACTGATTCAGTTAGATTCCCAGACCTATTTGCATCTCCACCTGATTCTGTGGGCAGGTGAGAGGAGGATGGGCAAAGCTGGGCATACACTGTATTTTTTGGACCATAAGACACACCTAGGTTTTAGAGGATGAAAATAGGAAAAAAAATTTTGAAGCAAAAAAATGTAGTAAAATATTTAATAATATAAATAACATAATATTTCACCAATGTAAATATAAACAGAACTCAACAGCAGCATTAACAACAATTGTTCCTCCCAAACTTGGGGGGGGGTGCATCTTATAGTCTGAAAAATACAGTATATCTTAGGAAAACCAAGTAATTGTGCCTTCCATGTTCAGGATTCAGGACTTGGCCATGCAGCCATTCCACAACCAGCTGCCGTACCACCAGATGGTACATAATGAAGCCAATTTCTACAACCGGTTAGAAAAATTGGTAGATCCCCTATGAGACAGGTGTTATCTTGCTACAAGATGATGATAGACATTATGATAATTACAACAATGTCGTCCTGTGGAATTAGAGAATCAGTTTTGCCGCCAGTGAGAGGAATAGCGGGCATCGGAGCAGAAGCTGCCTGTGCCACAAAAGCAGCGTTGCTCAACCAGTCATCATACTTGTGTGCAGAGACATGGTATCTTCTCAATAATAGAACTGAAATTCCAGAGCTTGCTAATTCATATGCGATTTTTAGTGAAATAGGCAATATGGTCATGCCTCTCAAACCAAGAAATTATTGTCAATGTGTTTATCATACTAATGTATTTGTCATACTAATAAAAACATTTCAAGTACTGTCAATATGTCAGGCCACTGTCACACTCTGTCGTGCCCCTTTCTAGGCTGTACAAGCTGTGCCAGCCGCCTCCCCCTGTTGGAGAGGAATGAAGAGAACCTCGAGGAACCAGGCAAGCAGAGGCTTCTGAACACTGGACTAGACAAAGGACTGGCGGGCCAAACATTCTCCACGCTATATGAAAAAAGAATTTTTTCTCTAAATCTTTCACCATGGTGTAAATAACTAATGATCAGCCTGTACTTAGATACTTCTGCTGAAAATGGATAGACCTTCATTCGCAACCTGGTCTCTCTCTGTATTGACACAAACTAATTTTTAGGGTAAAATCTATCCCGGAAAATTAGGGAAAAAATACCAGAGAAAAAATTTATTATCGTGCCTCTTCTACCATTTATTGAAATTATGTTATTGCATTTGGTTTTGTCTTCTCCCAGTAGGACCCGTAATAATGGATCTTTCCATTTAAGGAAGCCCGTCCCTGAAGAAACGTGGCCGCATTTTCTCAGACATACAGAAACACTACAGAAGCCACAGCTGGTGTCCTCGGTTCTCAGTTCCTCTGTATCAGAGAAAGTGGTCTCTGTGTCAAAGGCAAAGAGCTTGCTTTCTTCTCTGGAAGAGTGTTTTTGTCAGTAGAGGAGAAGAGAGTGATTGAGGCCTCTGTCAAGACCCTCTTCCTGCTGCTTCCAGGTTTCTTTGTGCTCCTGGAAGGTCCCAGGGGTCCCTGCTGTCTGCTGGTCTTTGAAGTGGATGTGGCTGTCTTGGGCCATGTGGGCAGATGCTGTGTCAAATGTGGCAGGGGGTGGGAAGAGGCAGGGACTGGGGAGGTGGGAAGGAAGATGAGGGAAAAAAAGGGAAAAAATGAGTTCATTTAAAAACTCAACCTTAAACTTAAAAAATATACTTTCTAAAACTCTTAATTTTATTAAGGCTTTCTTATATGTCAGACTCTTAACAGAATACACCATGCCCAGAATTTTTCTATCATGGTGTATATGTTAGGTATGAAAATAAAGCTTTATTTGTTGCATTTTAGAAGGACTATTAGAGACCTTGGTAATCCATGGGAGCACAAGGCATATTCTATGCATAGTGTTTATCATTTCTACATTGATAAAACAACATTGTTCTTAGCATAGTGAATACAGTAATGCTGAGCTCAAATTCATAATTTTCAAAATATTAAAATGTCCATATTGTGACTGTTATAATTTTATGAACTCAGACTAATTTAGTATGTGAAATGCTTTTCATAACTAAAGTATATACAAACCATTATTAAATTTTAATTTATAAAATTTGTTTATGGTTTTCAAGCTATCATTAAAAACCTTCATGGCTAGCAGTTGTGTATTGAATAACAAAAATACTGGGTTTACATATGAGATGTATGAGATATTTATATACTGGCCAAGGTAATAATTATTGTTATTTGGCACAAAAGATCTTAAAACTTTTGCAATAAGTTCATATGTTTAATAAAAAATAAAGAAACTAACATCAGAGTTTTCAAAGAAAAAGTTGAATACTTTGTATTAATCAGATGACTTTAACTTAAATATCTATATTAAGTATATCCTTTACTTTTAGGGACTTTACATTCTCAATACTATCAGCAAGTAATCCTAAAGTTCCATGATATTAGTAAATTGTGATTTTCCCATACTGAAAATTTGATTATATTCCATATAATCAAGAGTTGATAAGTGAGCAAAACTGATTAACTAGCAGGTACTTTTCATATTGTCATTAGTGTTTTCTAACCATGATCCTGGAAGCAGTAATCTCTCAGAGGGATGAAGGGGTCATTTAAACATTTTGGTGACACTTTGCTATGTTCCAGGGGGGAAATTATCTTCTATGGTGATATGTATACATTAGGATGTTTTTAAAGACCTACACTTTTTGTAATATAATGTTTTTACTATTATTTTAAGGGTTAAACATAGTATAAGCTTAGCATCTACTTTAATAAGTGCTTGGCATTTGTTAAATGCTCCAAAGTTAGTAATGGCTTATATTATCATTAGTCACTGTCATGTTTTGTTATAATAAACATTGTATAAAACAGATAAGTTTTAACACTATGTGCCAAGCAAAACATCCCAGTGCTTTACCTGCACTTTGTTGTTACTGCTTCACTCATCCTTATAATGACGACCTGAGGTGGTACTTGCTTCATAACCCCCTCTACACAGTTGAGGAACTGGAGCAGACAATGGCGCAGTGACTGGCCCAAGACTATGAGACTGACAAGTGGTAGAACCAGGATTTGAACCCAGGAAGTCTGCTTCTTATTACCATCAGAACTGTTGTAATGTTACCAATTACTTGTTACTAAAGTAGGAGTTACATGAAGTGTATTGCCATTAAATTATACATCTTATATTGAGAAAAAAGGTGAATGAAAATTTGTAAAATACCTTTAATATATGAAAATCTTAAGATTGCCAGGACATTTAAACATTCTGAATACACATTTTGAGGTAACTCAATGCTGTTGCAATATGAAAAGAAAATATTCCTCAAATTGAAGGTAACAGTTTTAGGTATGTTTTGAAAGTCTGGAATAGTACATCATATAAAATTTGACTATGATTCTAAAGCAGTGGTAACAGTAATAAATGACTGATTAATGAATGAATAAAACAATTTTCAATGCCATGATGTACCTCTGTGTGACACTGGACATTTAACTGGCTGTGAGTTTTTAGAATAGGTTTACCTAAATGCTCATATACCCCTCTACAACCAGTGCTCCTTTAAGCGTTGCTGAAGCCTGACAGTAGTTCTTCCATGTTCTGGGTTTGGACATCCTACCTCTCTCCACCAAAAGGGAAGGTCATGCGTAGAAAATTGGTGTTTTAACTTGGGACCACTTCAAAATTATGAGTTAATGAGTAACTCCTCATCAGTACATCCTAAACATTGTATTATATCTTACAAAGATTTCTAACATCACACTTACAAAATTTAATATTAGGTATATGAGCAATTTTAGGGACTAGAATTTTACATATACTCCCATTATTATTTAAAAAGGGAGAAGAAAGGAAAAAGAAAGTTAGTTTTCATACTCTTTTTCTCTATATTTTATAGTAATGTTTACTTTAGAGTATAAGCTTTATTTTAGGAGCCAATATCCCAATATAAGAAGTCTCATACTATTTTCTGTCTCTTTAAATAAATTTTTTTTCCAATGGCCACTTAGATTCAGTTGCAGGCACAGTATTGCATTCACAACTAGTTTAAATCCCATGACACTATAATACATAGCCGACCCTGAACAACACATGTTTGAACTGTGCAGGCCCATTGACATGCAGATTTTTTCAATAAATGAATACAGTGCTGTAAATATGTTTTCTCTTTTTTATGATTTTCTTAATATTTTATTTTCTCTAGGTTACCTTATTATAAAAATATAGCATATAATGCATATAACATACAAAGTGAGCATTAATCAACTGTTTATGTTCTCAGTTAGGCTTCTAGCCAACAGTAAGCTATTAATAGTTAGGTGTGGGGGAGTCAAAATTTATACAAGGATTTCTGACTGTGGGGCCTGAGCGGGTGTCTATACCCCTGAACCCCCACATTGTTCAGGGTCAACTGCATATAATATTGTAATGACATTGGTTCTCACTCTACTCATTTAAATTTTGTGATAGTTAAATTTAGAAAGAAATAAAATTGATCTTGACACTAACTGTAAAAAATGAAGAAAGTACATGGGTATAAAAACCCTGAGGGGTATGTTAACTAATGTAAGAAAACAAACTATTTTCAACCCTTTGGGAACATATATTGTATAAGAAAAATGGTATTTATTAATGTGAAAGCATTTGGTTGAGAATTAGTTACTCCATGGATTTGGAGATAATATATTTGTACTGAAAATACTAAAGTATTCTTCCATTACTTCCTGTAGGTTTTTTTTTTTCTATATAGCACAATTTAATGAGATTCCAGGGCATATTTTTATTCCCTTGTGTTTTTGGAAAACAATATTGAAATTTTAAATGAATCACCTTTAAGTCATTTTACTTTACATTTTACTTTACAGGTCATATTTTATGTTTTTTTTAATTAGTGGTATTTACTAATTTTGAAATTAACTTTAATATGTGACTAAATTATTTCTGAACTTTTGGAGGCTTTATTTTAAAAGACTTATTTGTAAGTGAATTGGTGCACTAAATTACAGTTTCCTTACTCAAAGTCAGTAGTAGTTATTTCATTAACATGTAAATGTTTTAACCAACTTGCTGAATGAATTTTTAGGTGCTCTGCTAACATATAAAGGCAAAGAGCTTTGAAATGGTTTAGGATGATCTGAACTTGATTAAGAAAATATTCTGTACTCTACTAAGTTTTTGAAGTTTTACTGACGAGCCTCAGGATGCCTGACCCCGCAGGAAGCTGAAGAGGCGGGGCAAGTTAGGAGAGGGGGCTGCGCCAAGCACGGGCTCAGGCTGATTCCGTTGTATGTAATGGCCACAGTTTTCTTAGGTGCTGCAGTTCCATAAATGTTGCTGGTTAGACTTTGGTTTTAGAAAAATGTCACTACTTCAAAGGTACCTTGAGCAGTGATCCCGGAGTTCATGCTGCCAGGTTGCGCATGCGGGGAAGATTGCTCAGCCTGTGCCTCCTCCATCTGTCCTTACACAGACACGTGGCCCGCTTCACTCAGGACGGCTGGCCTCTCTCACTGAGAAGAAACGCCCGAGGTCTACTAAGTCTACTAGTGTATATAAAATGCATTTTATATACATTTATATTCACTGCTTTTCATTTTTTATAGTGACACATAGAAATTAGATTCTTTTGTTTTGTATGACGATACGATAGAAGGAGTTGTTCAGTGTATTGCATGTCTGCTCTGTAGACGTCAGAGCTGTCTCCATGTACAGTAAGACCTCCTGGTACAGCATCTTTTTGCTCACAGACAGTAGTTTGCCACTCAGCCTGGAATCTATTTACCCAACTTTGCTGCCCAGAAGAAGTAGCTGATTAAATAAAAGTGTTGAGTTTTTAAATGATATCTCTACTAGAAGTAGAAAGCTTTGTAATTTGTAGTTAATTTTGGTTGTAAATAACTGAATAAATGCCACTCACTTGTGTATTCATTCAACAAATGTGCTTGAGATCACTGCAGGAGGCAGAGCACCTGGGCTTTATTTATGTGTTGGATGTGTTTGGTCAACACCTTCTCAGTGTCTCTTCTGTGTTAATGATGGCCTATGTTTGTTACTTGAAATAACATTATTTGTAATGCAAACCTATTCTAATACCATTGAGGTATATATACTGTATTAAGTGGAGAACATTAAGTTGATAAAATGCTGTAGAAAACATACATTTAAATTTGAATACCTAATGCTTCAAGCAAATTTGTTAGAGTTTCAGAGGAATATATATTTTTGTTACTGCTAAGTAAAATGAGTAGAACGTAGCTTTTGCTTAAAAGTATTTTTGTAAGTATTCATTTACACAGTATTCATTATTTTAAATATTAAAATTGGGCCTATAAATAATAATTCTTTTAAATGTATCCATATTTAACAATGTATAACATCCAAATTATAATGACAAATTTCATCCAAAGGTGTTATTCAAGTACTCTGTTCTTTTGCTTGTAAAATATACATGTAACATAGTTTCAATCACTCAGCATTTTGTGTATGGTTAAATTTATCAAAGTGTATTATGTATTTTATGTCATTTTTATTTGCGTAAAACATTAGAATAGTAACCTTGTATCATAAATGCCAATAACAATAAAGTATAATGTAGTATGACCATGTCAGCTTCTTTCCATTTAACCAATTCCTACTCTGTTCTCACCTGTGTAGGAGACAAAACTTCATGAAAAACAGATTTTTCACCCTTCAAAATGTACAGGCTTTATAAAAGAAAATTGAAACACATGTGAAACAAATCTACACATACAAGCCAAGGTGAGTTGTAGAGACAGTAACTGCTAGGAAGGGGTCAGGAAATGAATGTCAATATTGCCACAGCACAGGAAAGCTTCATGGGAGATAAGAGACTTTTGCTGTTCCTGAAATTAACTAGCCAATCTATCAAAATTTAGTCAGCGCTTATTATGTACAAGTGCTCACCCCAGCTGCTGAGGGCATTATTAATGCATATAATTTTCAAGCTCTGCACTTGAAGAACTTGTACATACAGGTGGTTAATGTGATGCACAAACCAAATTGATACTTATCAACATAAGCAGCACACACAAATACAAAATATCAATACATAAGGCAATGAGACATGTGTACTACAGAACTTCAAAATATTTACATTTAACCCAGTATCTTTTTTTATCAGGCATCTAAGAATGATCAGATCCTGAGCTGAGCTGGATGTTTAGCAATTAGAAAAACACGCAAGGCTACTGTCCATATAGAGCTTAGTCTAGATGGGGGGAAACATTACCAAAAAAAAATGACGAGAGAAGGCTGGGTCAGCTTTCGGGATTTGTAAGATATTAAGCAGTCTCCTGAAGAACAGCATGAACACACACACTGAGATGCAAACATACCAGATATTTTGGTGGGATGGTATGTGGATCAGTCTGAATAGAGAAATGAGACGTGTGGATGTGATTAGAAAGAGCTATGGATGCAAGAGAAGGTTGGGTCTGTATGGTATAGGTCTCTGAATGCCAGCTTAGAAGTCTGGGAATTGTATGCAGAAGGAAGTCGAGATATCTAGTTCATAAAACTGATAAAGAATTAAGAAATCACAGAGAAGAGTTTGAAAAATGTGTATGTTATTGACTGTGACTGTGTAAGCCACCTCAGAGAAGTCAAAAGAAATAACCATTGAAGGAAACAAAAATCAACAACTATATTTTATTTTTGAGAAATTGCTGGTATACTCTGAGATTGCAAATTTAATACAGTAATAAGAACATAATGCAGCCATCACACATAGGCTGTTTTATAACAGCATTCCAGGCACTGGTGTTCCAGAAAGGCTGTTAAGGGAAATACATACAAGATATTTTATGGCCAAAATAAGTTTAAGAAACAGAATTAAACACCCTTCTTTATTATAGGACTTCTCCAATATTTTAATGAACTTACAAAAATCATGACTTCGGAAGAGAGAGGTAGTACATGGTACGTCCCACACTTACTACAAGGTAGGACATGTTTCACGGAAGATTTGTCAGTTATCTCCTTGGAGTGAAAACATTCAGCAAAGCACACTATGGGAAAACTATTCAAGAAGCTTCATGACAACATGAAGGGAAAAAGGGATTAAATGCATTAATAGGAGCTGCCTAGCCTTTACCTGATGGAGATGCCATTAAGGTTTAAAAGAAGAAATGACAAATAGGGACATAAACGAATGGTAACAGTGAATTAGAATGAAAATCAGGTTGTAATATTGTAACTTTTATTCTCTCACCATTCATCTCTGTTCAGGATATTGGGGTGAGGAAGAGCTTAATCTGCGGAGAAATGCAAATGTCTCCTCTCCTTTCCAGTCATGTCAGCCCTGTTATATGCTGAGATGTTGGAGTAAAGGACACTGTGCAAAGCTCAGCTCCTGTTTGCCATGTTTTCTGGACTAAATTTGTAATTTTATTTGTTTTCATTTTTAACAATTTTTTAAAGATTTAATTTATTTACTTTTGGAGAGAGGGGAAGGGAGGGAGAGCAACATCGAAATGTGAGTGATCAGTTGCCTCTCACATGCCCTCAACTGGGGACCTGGCCCACAACCTAGAAGTGTGTCCTGACTGGGGACGAACAGGTGACCTCTGGGTGCTAAATCCACTGAGCCACATGAGCCAGGGTTATGACTGGGGTGGCCATGACTGGGGTGTCTTGAGTTAGATGACTTGAAGGTAAAAGGCTCATTTTTTTGTTTCCAGAAAGTATTTAAAAATATGTTAAGTATGAATGAAAATATGTTAATATGAAAAAAAATATATTTTTTCCAGACTGACCTTGATCAGCCATTTGGATGTGATCTGAATGTAGTAATACAAATACCACATTGATTTTTTTAAAGGTAGGTCTTAATAATATAAACCCACATTTCATCTCCAGGATTCCTGGGGATCAGATCTAAACATTGACCCTCTCTGCTATTAATTAAAGTGGATGCAAAAGAAAAAGTTCCAGTACAGGACAGTCTAGAAATTCAGCAAGTCATGGAGTTCTTAGACTCTCCTGCCTTTGACTCAGTATGTTGCTTTTATTTAGGAGAGACCCATGAACTCTTTGCCAGAAAAGTGATAAAATACATTGTTCCAGGGCTGCGTGCTCAGAGGAAAAGGCAGTGATCAGCCCATGATGTAGCAGAATGTTCTGTTCAGGGCACTTTAGTTCAGAAGGATGAAGACAAGTGAGAATATAAATGATGTTCAAAGGGTGACAAAGGACATGCAGAAATTGATGGCCAGGAAATATTAGGTCTACTGAAAACTTCTCTAACTGCCTACATGTGGACTCACTGTGAAAAATGTTTCCCTCAGAGGTTAGACAGTAGGACGGTAGCTAGCCAGCATTGGGAGATCTGGAAAGTATAACCCAACACAGAGTAAAGAATAAGTTCCAAGATGATGTGATGAAAAGAGACTTTTTATACAGCCTTTGAAAACCTTATTTGAATTGTATAAAATATGGGTTGGAACCTTGCAGCCAATAATCTTACCACTTTTTTTTTAATTAAAGTGAAATTCACATAACAAAATCCACCATTTAAACAATCTATAGAAATGCTCCCTGGAAGTATAGTCTTCAAAATCAACCATTTTAAAGTATGCAGCTTACTGGCATACAGCACACTCACCGTGATGTGCCACTATTAATATCTGTCTAGTTCCAAAACATTCCCTTCATCTTCAAACATGTTATTTTTAATTAAGCTTTTTAAAGATAATTGTAGGTTCACATTTTTAAAGTAAATTTTATTGATTATACTATTACAGTTGTCCCATTTTTTTCGCTCCTTTATTCCCCTCTGCCCTGCACCCCGCCTCCTACCAGCTTTCCCCGCCTTAGTTCATGTCCATGGGTTGTACATACAAGGTCTTTAGCTTCTCCATTTCCTATACTATTCTTAACCTCCTCCTCTCTATTTTGTCCCTACCATTTATGCTTTTTATTCCCTGTACCTTTTCCTGCATTGTCCCCTCTCCCAGCTGATAACCCTCCAAGTGATCTCCATTTCTGTGATTCTGTTCCTGTCCTAGTTGTTTGCTTAGTTTGTTTTTGTTTTTGTTTTTGTTTTAGGTTCAGCTGTTAAAAGTTGTGAGTTGGTTGTCATTGTTGACAAAACTGCAAAGCAGTTCAGTGGAAGAAGGATTGCCCTTTCAACAAATGGTGCTAGGATACCTGTAGCATAAAATGACCCTTGAGCTCAACATTACATCTCATAAAAAATTAACTTAAAGTAGATCAGGGACTTAAATGAAAATATAAAATTATAACACTTTAAGAAAAATATAACAGAACATCTTCGGGATCTAGGGCTAGTTAGAGTTTTTAGTCTTGACCCCCAAAATAGTGTGATCTATAAAAGAAAAAGTTGATAAATGACAACATATCAAAATTTAAGAATATTTTCTTTTTTTAAAGCCAGTGAAAAGATAAGTTACAAAGAAAATAGTTGCAAATTACATATTTGACAAATTAGGACATGTAAAAAATTCCAAAAAACCAATTGTGAAAGGTTTCAAACAGTCTTATTTCATTTATGTAGCATGCTTAAAATGGCAAGATTATAGAAAGGGAGAACCAGTTAGGAATAGACAGGCAGGAAGCACTTACAGTTACGCAGGGGCAGTGAGATGGTCTCTGTGGTGATGGAAAGTCCTCCATCTGGCCAGTGTTGTTGACACCGTGATTGTGAAACTGTACTGTTGTTCTGTAAGATGTTACTTGCCAAGGAAACTGAATAAAGGGTACACAGGATTTCTTTTATTTCTCCCAACTGCATGTGAGTCTTCAAATGAAAAAATATAAAGGAGAGCACTTTTCACCAATCAGATTGGCAAAAATAAAAAGTTTGATAATGCAGGTTAGGGTGTGAGGAAATGGAAAATCTTACGGATCAGTTGGAAGGTATTTGGGGGAGGCTCACTGGAAAAGGAAGAGTATTGCTTATATAGAAACTGGCAAGTACTCTATGCATCTGTACACTTTTTCCATTGAAATATAACCACTCAGAGAAAAATATATATGTGTTTAATTTTTTCATTTATTTTTATTGTTGACGCTAATACAGATGCTCCCATTTTCCCCACTTTTGCCTGCCTCCACCCACCCACCACCCCCGCTTCTCTGTGGCCATCACCACACTGTTGTCTGTGTCTATGAGTTATGCATACATGTTTTCTAGCTAATCCCTTCACCTTCTTTCATCCAGTCCCCTCCTTCCCTTCCCTCCCCTCCCCACTAACAGCTGTCCCTGCTTCTGTTTCTGTTGTTTTTTTGTTAGTTTATTTCATTCATTAGATTCCACATATAAGTGAGATCATATGGTATTTGTCTTTCTCTGACTGGCTTATTTCACTTATTATAATGTTCTCCAGGTCCATCCATGCTGTCACACAAGGTAAGATTTCCTTCTTTTTATAGCTGTGTAGTTTTCCACTGTGTAAATGTACCACAGTTTTTTATCCACTCAGCTACTGATGGACTTAGGCTGTTTGCAGATCTTGGCTATTGTAAATAACACCACTATGAAAGTAAGGGTGCATGTATACTTTTGAATCGGTGTTTTGGGATTCATAGGGTATATCCCCAGAAGTGGAA